TCTCCTGCTCGCTCCCTGGCTACTCCAGTTCTGGAGAAGGCTGGCCGTGTCCGTCCTGGAGCCGGGCAGACTGACAGGGGGCAGCTCCATGCACGGCTGGGAGATGGATCCGTCACCCAGGGGATGAATCGGTCACCCACACCCCGTCTCTTTCAGGCAGCGCCCCACCGATGCCCGTGGGAGCCGCGGAAGGGCCAAGCGCCGGTTCCTTTTCAAGGGGGCGGATGAGCTGTGCTGGCCGCGGGGGACCATGTGTGCGGGGGGGGGCTGCCACGTGGCGTTCCAAGCCCCCCCCGGACTCTCAGCCCACCGGGCATGTGCAGCCAGCCCCCAGTCTGTGCGACTCCAGCCTCTCCCTGCCGCTGGTGCCTCACGGCTTTGCAGCCCGCTAATTCTTGGCGTGTTTGGAACAACCCAGCATTTCTCTGCCGGCATCCAGCGGGGAAGGTCGCCCTGGTGCCAGCATGCTCCCCGTGGGCTCGACTCGCCGCAGGGCTGCTTCTGGGCTCGGCTTCGGCCATTCCGGTCACATGCCACGAACAAAAGGGCCCTTCATGGTGAAAACGATCCGTGTTCAGAAGCAAAGGGCCGCGGAGGGAGCTGGCCGTGCGGAGTCCCCTTCCGGCCAAGACACGAGGACGGACACGGCCTGGCCGCCTGACCCCTTCAGCTGCTGCACTTTCCCCAGGCAGGCGTCCCACCGCAACCCCCAGCAGTTCCAGGGAGCATGCCCAGGACGATGGGCAACATCATTAGACACCTGGTTCAGGGCTGGAGACGGCCGGACCAAGGCAGTCCCTGATCCACATTTCACCTCTGCTGCTGATTCCCCGTGTGGTTTTGGGCAGCTCTCTCTCTCCCCGTCTCCCCTTTCTTGGTCCTCATGTTTGCAATATGGGGATTTTAATGCTGATCTACTTTGATGGGTTTGTCTGATGTTATACTCCTTCCGGCGCCAGGTAAAGACCTTTCCATTCAACCATCATTTTATTCATCAAGCATTTTAGACATTTTAAGAATTTTTGTTTTCTGTTTTCACAGCCTCATTTCCTATTTTATTTTTCCCTTCTTATTTCTTAGTTTATAATGTTCAATTTTATATGTTTTTCACATTTGTGGTTTTATTCTTGTATTCTTGTAATTTTATGTTATGGAAGCCGTCCTGAGCGCTTGTGCGAAAGGATGGGATACGAATGTTGTAATAAATAATAATAAATATTAACCGCGGCGCTCCATACGAGCCAGTGCGTGATCCGAGCGCTTGGCGGAGGTGTGTGGGGGCTGAGCTGGAGTCTCTGTGCTTGGCTGAACTGGTGCCTGTCGCAGAATGCACCCAGACACTCCAACTGCTCCGGGACAAGCTGTGGTGCCTCCTGGGGGGCCAGTTTAGCTGCGATGAGCCCATTCCTCACAGCCCGCTGGGGAGAGGAGACCCGGCCGGGATCCCCAGTGCTGCATGCTCCAGAGCGTGGAGGGCCAGCAAGAAGCGGGTGGCTCGCCCTCAGGGCAAGGTCCCTACAACCTTTGCCACGCCGGGCCCTCCAGAGGGGTTGTAACCAAGTTGTGAGAGGCCGATGGGAGTTATAGTCCAACAGCTCAAGGGCACCACATGTGGGCACACCTGAGCACGCTTTCCTACCCAGATCTGGCTTTTCTCCAAGCCCCGACAGGCTCCTGACTTGACTTCTGAGAAATGTTCAAGCCTTTTTCCAGTTGTGGGCACGGGATTCAGGGGGTTGCCAGGCTGGTGACATGCGGGCAGGAAAGTTCCGAGACTTTCCTACGAAAGATTTCATCTCTGAGCAGCTGCGACTGTTTCCCAACAGAAAAGTCAGATCGTCAAATTCCAACCGTCTCTCGCCCAGGAGGCAGCATCATCACCGCCATGGCGGAGAAAAAGGAAGGGTGGGGCCAAGTCCCACCTCTCTCCCCAAGAACAGCAATTTAGCAGGGATGCAAAGAAGAGCAAAGCTTTGCCTGGCTTGCTGGGCTCTGCTCCTTGCTAGCCAACTGTCGGGATGGGCAGGGGGCAACCCAGGCCGGTGAAGGTAATAACCCTAAGAGAAATGTCCGATCATGGTTTTTCTGGTTCGGATGCCTCGTAAACCACCTTGGTTAGTCTAGGAAGCTGGTATGGAATTGCAGCAATAAATACATTTTTAGATTGGGGGTCTGGGATGGCTGGATGGTTCTACGTCCTTGAGAAAGAGTACCAAACAACCGCCGGCATGTCAACTTGGAAGTAAGCCCAAGCTTCTCCATGCAAAGATGTTAATCGGCTGTGTCTCCTTTTGGTTTTGTCGCAGTTAGAATCAGAGCATTGTCCTGCTTTACCACTAGGCAACCTCTAGGTGGCACTGCATGGCTGGATCAGCAAAAACGGGGCTTTCACCTTTGCAGTTAATACCACATTTTCCGTGCTTATCGTCATTGCCAAAACTGCACAGCATGGGATGATTAAACGGAGGAGTAAAACTGGAGGGTCACTGTCTAAAGAACCCATAAACAGCTGTGAGTAGGGAATGAGAAATGCATGAGAAATCCCTCTGGCAGGAACACCCTGAGTTCAATGGGTTTGCTCCCAACACCAGGACAGAATAACAGGGTCAAGTCCTGTGAGTCAGCAACACTGCAGGGCATATGAAAAAGTTCCAGGCAGACACAAAGCTGGATAATATTTGCATATGCTAATTCCCATCTTTACAAATTCAGGGCAAACTACTAATGTGTTCATATTTCACGGGAGACAAAGGCATCCCTCCTACAAACCATTTCAAATAAAATAAACACGGCAGTTAATTTGTTACCCTGACCTAGTTCATCCTAAACTAATAGAAAAAATATTGCTTTTCCTCTAGCTCTTAACACCCAAGCAGGGGAAAATTGGTGAACATGTCTCGTGGGTGCTCCAGCATGTAGTTAACTCTTCCCACCCCGGCTGCAGCCCCCTTTGAAAATCCACCCCCCGCAACACAGAAAACGAGCTGAGCCAGATTTTGTAATATTGAGGAGTCTGTGCGCGTGTGCACACTTTCACTTCCTCCAAAAATCCCCAAGACCGGCAGAAAATATCAAGAATTTCAGAAGGCGAGAAGCCATGAGATGCCTATGCTTGTATGTAAGGAAGATTTATAGCAGGGAACCGACCCTGAAAGCCACGGTGGGCTGCTCTTTCTGCTTAGCTGCATGAACAATGACCGAGACACTTCAGTCAAGGCTGAGAAAGGAAACGGCCCCAGAGACTGTGCAAGGGCGAAACAGAGAGCGAGAAGCGAGAAACGGAGGCTGCTTTAATGCGGTTCTTTCAGAGGTTGTAAGAAGTGCTCTGCAGGATGGGTGGGGTGTTGTTGGGGGGATGAGCCGCCGCGAAAATTATCATCTTCAATGCCCGGCTTTGCCCTAGAAAAGTGGCAACCTGCTCATCACTTGTATGAAACTTTTCGGCTTCCACAGGGGGCTAAAATCTGCTTGGCACCGCTGTGGGAACTGAAGGCCTGGAGGGACCCCCGCCCCCTGCCGCTCCGGCGGCTGTTGACAAAACCGCAAGCTGAAGTCAGATGGGCACATTTCAAAATGGAAATCTTTTTTTTTTAAGCTGCCAGTTTCTGTCCCCTAAAAGGGCTTTTAGGAAAGAGCAGTGAATTCTTACTTTCCCAAGGTGTTCGACCAGGATTCGGGGCCCCTTGGGTCTTTTTTCCCCAAGGAGGCAGAAGAAAAGAGAGAGGTCAAGTCGATGCTACTTTGAGGGGTGGGGGACCCACCAAAAGCACACGGATCCTTCTGGCCGTTAGTCCAGAATGGAAAATTCAGACATATGTTTGAACGGGGTGGGTGGAAACGAGGGAGAGCGGCTGAGATTCCCTGCCCTTCCTTTCTCTCCCTGCCTGCACTTTTTCCCCTGCGTTGGTGGTTTTGAATGCCCCCCCCCCCCGCTCCGCCTCCAGCCGCCTTTTCAAAATGTGTCATGGAGTATAAGAGAACTTGAGACCTTTGCAAAGGAATTTCAGCCACTGACTGAAAAGACGAGTCTCCTTTTTCCAGCTGAGGAAACAACCCCACGAACTTCCGAACACCCAAATCTTGCTTCTGAATCAATGAGGACGCCGCTCTTTCTAAATTTTACGTTGCCGTTCGGACAGGCGTTGGACGGAGCAAAGCGAAACCGATTTCAGAAGCCGCCTGAGCGCAAAGGCTGAGCTCGCAGAGCAGCCGCACGGCTTGTAAAAGCGAGATCCGGGGGGACGGGGGTGCCGAGGCCAAGGCTCTGGCTGCGCTCGGGGTCCACGGCCGTGGCGGGTCACCGAGGAGCAGGGGCTGAGCCCTGGGGCCAAGGAGAGGGTCGGGAGAGGTTTGCGGACCTGGGCCAGGGTGCCGGCAGAGCGGGCCAGGCCGGCCTCGCCGCCGCGGCTCGCACACCTTGGCCCGGACCCGCGCGCAACGGGGCGCGCGGCTCAGCCCAGCCCGGCTCGGAGGGGCGCCTTACCTGCCCTTCCCCGCGCAGCTCCGCGCTCGCTCCCGCGCTCCGGCCGGACGGGCACGGAAACTTTCCGCTGGCCCCGAGGTGTGGCTCTGCGCCGCGCCGCTGCGTGTGAGGAGGAGGAGGAGGAGGAGGCGGTGCTGGGCGCACGCCCGCCCGCCCGGTCCTGGGCGCACGCCGTCTCCAGGCTCGGCGGAGGCGGCGCCCCAGCACCGATGCCGGCCAGTCGTGGCACTGCACATGATGCCGGGCCGGGGGCCGGGACTGGGGCGCAGGGGCGGCGCCGGCCACGGTCCTGGGGGCGCCGCCGGGCAGAGGCGCGGGAATGGCCGCAGGCGGGGCGGAACCCAGAGGCCATCCAGACGAGCCCTGCTGCAGCAGGCCCCCCGGGGGGCTCCCTCCCACCCGGCGCCTTCCAGGTTTCTTTACTCTGCGGTGGCCCGCGGGCTTCACCCTGGGCCCTGCTGGCTGGCGCTGATGGGAGCTGGAGTCCGCAACGTCTGAAGGGCCACGTGTTCCCTACCTGTTAGAAGAAGGGCCCTGTGACACGGAAGGTCGACCTGGTGGGGGGAGGCTGGTGCCGATGCCTGGTCCTCGGGGGCTCCTGCCCTCGTTTGCCTGCTTCGCTTCGCTGAATGAGCTTCCGACTGAAAACAAGCGCGTCCTGGGGAGGGAAGGGCAGCTAAGGATGCGGGTCTTCCGAGCTGCTTCCTGCCGAGGGAGTTTGCCCCGCTCGTGCTTACATCGTGTTCAGAAGAAAAGGAAGCCAGGAATGAAGCCAGTTCCTCTTTCAAAGCTGCTCCACGCAAGGCCTTCTGATTATTTCCCTCTTTCTGAGGGGAAGCGCTCTGCACATGCTCAGCTTACCCCACTGGATGACATTCTTATTGTGACTGAATGAATTGGAGTCCCAGTGGATTTTCGACGTGGCTTGCTGCCTAGGGGAATACAACAGCATGAAAAGCATTTCATAACTAAACAACCTTCAAGGAGAGAAGCCGAATCACAGAGAGCCGATAGCCATAATGGCTCTGTAGAGCCTCCATGCTCAGAAGCAGTCTACCCTGAGGATTGGCTGCTGTGGATGGACAGCATGCAGGGAAGGAGCTACTGCCTTCACACCCTTAAGGAGTTATACCAGCAGTAGCTGGCTAGAAGTGGCGGTTAACCAGGTTGGAAAAGGCCGATGGGCCAGCTGGAGCAGGAGAGAGAAAGAAGCGCTTGGATGAAGTTATGTAAGTGCATCGTGTAAGCTGCTCTATCTCCCACCAAAAAGCACCGGCTGTTGAAAGATTCATGAGAACGAAGAAGCTCTGAATGGCAGGAGGAGAGGAGGCCGCTTCAGGGCTTCTGGGGTGAAGTCTCCCAGGCCTTTTCGCGAGCGCAGAGGGCTTGCTGTGCGCAAAAGCACCCGCTGGATGCAAGGGGGGCACCCGGTGTCTCCCGCGTGCAATAAGCCCCTGAAAAGCTCTGCCAAAATGAGCCATGGCTGCTCCTCCTGGGGGCCACACCAGGCCGTTTCCACACCGGCTTCAGGGGCTGCCGGTCTGTTTCTGGGCACGCTTTGAAGGGCTGGTGGTTTCTTCCACAGGGTGACATTTCCATGCCCCTCCACCCCCTGCGAGGAAATGCAGGCAGCGGACGTGGCCCCCGTTCTTGCCATTTATCCTCCCCACAACAGCCCTGTGAGGGAGGCCAGGCTGCGAGGCAGGGACCGGCCCGACGATGCCCAGCGAGCTTCATGGCTGAGTGGGGACTTGAACCCAGGCTGCTGAAGTCCAGCCAAGGACCTGAACCATCGCCCCGCCATGCCTCTCTAGAACAGCATGGCTGACCCCTGCCTCTGCGGACAGGCAGCCAGAGGCAGTGAACCGCAAGCCCCCTCCCCTCCCCTCCCCTCCCTGACGCTGC